CCAGCAAAAACTCTTGCACAGGGCTCTTGCTTATTAAGAAATACTAATATTGAGCAAATTTTGTATAAAGCCGCTTAAGATTATTTTCTATAAATAGAGCATTGCTTGTTAAGCAGTATTTCAGCCTCAAATCTCTGGTTTTGGAGCAGGAATTGCTAGGTGAAGTTCTGTGTAGGAGATCAGACTGAACAGCTGCAGCACAGTCCCTTTGGCATTAAGATCTGTGAGCTCCTAAACAAGCACAGTTAGTTTACCTGTCTTGTGCTCCAGAGGCATATGATTTCTTTGACTAGTCATACAATAACTGGTTCCTCTCTGGAAATCTTGATAGATACCAAATGTTTCATACTTTTTAGCCCAATAATAATTTATCCTTAAATTTGTCCTAAAAATATTTCTCATAATTCCCATAGTTAGAACCCATTGATCATCCCAGCCAAGGAGTAGAAACAATGTAATGTGAATTAGATGACCAGCCTCACATCACTGAATAATGAAAAAACAAATGACTGGATGACATAGAAATAATTCCTAGGCTGCAGTTCAGTGAATAGCTTTAATGAATGTACTTGAATACTGAGCAGTTCAGAAATCAAGAACGAGTCAGAGAAATAAAAGGTTGAACTTACTGGGTGCTATATTTCTAGTGAAGATATCCACCAGCTGTAGCCAGTACATTTGTGTCATGAGGCTGACACTGTCCCCTTTACATTCTGCTCAGCACCTTTCCTGAAGCCCAGGAGCCGCTTCTTAATTCCTTCTCTGTTGTTGAGGTTTCTAAAACTGCTTTATGTCTTTTATGCTGTCATATTTACTTGCACTAAGTAAAGGTATTGCAAACCAATTTGCAGTTATGTATAGCATCACTTTTTACATGTCAGCATATTAAAGAGCTTTGTGCCTGTTCAATTTTAAACCCTTATTTCAGGTTTTATAAGTTCTGAAGTTCTGCCTGCTTTTAATTATATCAGGCTGAAGACAACAGTGTAAATGTTAACCCACAGAATGATTTACAGGAAATGGTAGCTGTCTATTTATTTTCAAATATGAGGCATCAGAAAAGGCAGCAACTTTGCAGTCTCCTTTTTTAATACTAGGCTTTAATTCACAAGAGAACACAAAAACTCTGATTATTTACCCTGCAATGGGAAATAAGTTGAGTGGAATTAATAGAACTGCAGTATTAAGAAATGGAAGGAACTGGCTAAAATTTGTCAAGAATTGTCTTTTCTACATTGTCCTTTATATGAGAACACAAGGGATTGCTTGAAGAGATTCAGAGCTAATATATATAATGAAGAAAAATATATTTTTCTTTATCAAGTATATGATCAGTGAGTGCTCTGGTGGTTAATCAAAGCAAACCTTGTGGCTGAATTACAAATAGAAGCTATCGATCTTGTGTGTACTAGAAGCAGCTGTTGTTTTACAAAGCATGGGCTGTGTCTTTGCCCAGTGAAAACTGGTATCCTTCTACCCCGTGAATGAAATGCGGGAACTGCTGGTGCCTGGAACAGTGAAACACTGGTGCAAGCTACCTGGAGACTAGAAAATAGCTTTAATTTGAGGTTTCTCAGCCTGCTCCAGGTCTCTTGTTTACAGCACAGCCTTACTTGTTCGTTGTTGTATTTTGTTTAATCTCTCTTTGCAAGTGGACTACTGGGCATTGACCAGTGCCGAGGGCCAGGAAACATCACTCCACAGAATTATCTTATTTCAGCTTTCAGTATGTTACTGTTCCCCTTCCTGTCCCTCAGGCCTTGCTAAATCTCATAAAATCCTTTTCAGATTGAAATCCTACTCTTCCCAAGCTATAACATTTTACAGCACGTATTTCTCTATATTTGTCTTAGTCTCTTGTTGACATTCTTTAGGTACCAGTTCCTTGGCTGGTAAATGTCTTCCTTATTCTTAGATTTATCCACTTTGTTTTGTTCAGAGCAATGTGTGGGGATAATAAATTGGCTCACAAGTACCTGACACTGCTTCCTAGTTCTTTCTACCATGCCAGTTTTTCATAATACTGAATCCAAGGGATGCCTGGAAGAAGCCAGCAGCATTTTCCCACTTACACATCTCCCAGAAGAGCTGCAAGCTGCCTGGATTTCTCTAGTAAGCTCACTCAATGGATGTGCTTCCACAAAAGGTATTCCAATAGTTTAATAGATTTATTCCAAAATGTGATAATAAACAGTTGTTTCAAATGTCAATTTTAAGGCTTGTGAAATGTAACTATGTACATGAATAAGATCTGAGCATAAATCAGCTCAGTAAAACAGCTTTGTAAATATTTATGAGCACGGGGCTCTTTGTTTCACACTGACTCCTTCTGTGTCCTCGTCTTAAATTTTCACTTGCTTTAGTTTAAGATGGTAGTCTGGGCTGAGTACCTGGCATTGCTACATTGCCACTTGTTTTCTCTGGTATTGCAATTATACCACAATCCTAAATCTTTACTGAATGCAGTGAATGTGTGATCTATAGAAGGAAACCTGTTTTCATGGGGGGCAGATCCTGAATTCTGATGGACCCGTGTGAGGTTTAGCAGGTGCCACGTCGCTGAACTGAAGCATAGCTTGGATTTGCCTACATGAGCTGCCATCTCTGCGGGGGCTGCAGGCAAGGCAGGACACAAGTTCCCTGCTGGTGTTGGTATTTTGGATAGGGCTGGTTATTCACGAGGGGGAGGAAAAAGAGAGACATTAAAAAGATGGTTGAAAGGATGAAAGGTAGAGGTGTGGAATGAAGGAGATGTGAAGAGGCTATGAAGGAGCAGTAGGCAAAGAGTCAGAGCTGTCAGGATACAGCAGAGACAGTCTAGTGGGGACTGTAAAGATGAGTTATCATCTCCTGCAAAAGCTTTTGCCTCCCTGGCTCCTTCTCCTGTGGCCGTGATTCTTGCCCCAGGCTTCCTGGCATTTTGGTGCCCCAGAAGAGAAGTAATTGACCTTTTCACTCCTTCTTTTGCAACAGTCACAGGTGAGAGCAGAAGTACGCAATCCTATAGGCATCTTTTTTTTTTTTGCACTTTTTACAGAGTTGTGCATGTGCTCATTACTCCCATGTGCTGTATTCATGCTGCAATTTCTATTCCTCTTCACTAATTCACACCAAAATTCTGACTTAGTTGCATTTTTTCCCTATTTAACTAGTAGCAGATAGCACCATGTTAATCAACATAATAACCAGAAACAAAATCTAAATGTAAACCTACTGATAATTTTCCAATGTTAGTTTAACCAGATCCTTGAAGTTCCTGAGTGGTCAGTTTGGACTGAGATAAGTGCTATCATTTTTCTTCTCTCTTGTCTGCTGGTTCTCCAGCCTTTTTGGACTGCAGCCCACAAGGAGTGTGAACAGGTGGTGCTTGTGGCACTTCAGGATGGATTATTCTCATTGAGGAGTTGGTTTCTGCTGCTTTGTGAGGGGCTTTGGCAGATCAAGAGCTGTTGCTCCTGAGATCCTGCCAGGCATGCTTCCCATGTGTTTCTGGATGTCTTCACTGAAACTGCATGGAATCAGCAGAAAAGGGGGGGCTTGGGTGTGAAAACATTTTGCATGATGTTTGTCCATCTTCATTTGAGATTTGTAAGGACAGCCAGATACATTGCCATTTAAACAATTACTTTTATTTAATTGTGTTTGCATTTTCATTAGTGAACAATAATGGAGAAAGATAACTCATTCATTTGCATTCAGACTTATCAGAAGAATCCTATACATTGTACAAATTTACATCACTTAATGTCTTAGCGTGCATTTAATCATACTTATGCAGATTTAAGTGTCTTTCTGACTGCAGTGGTATCATTCATTAGCAATTCCCTGAAGTCCAATGATCATAGGTTTGGCATAAACACAAAAAAAATTCTTCAAAGAGTAGATTTTGGAAAGCTCATCGGCTCTTCTTCCTACACTTGTGACAAATTTTGTGTCTTTCAGACACTCCTCAAAGCACACCACCGGTGTACTTGAGGAGATAAAATGCTGTTTGATCAAATAGGATGTTTGTCTTTGGTGAGTTGTGCTTAAGGCTTTTATTCTTTCATTTGTGCAGTTAGTCAAAAAAGATCTAAGATCTTTTGCAGGTGACTTAACTTCTGAGTGTGTCCCTTCCCCTCGTGTTTCTTGCTGCCCAGTTCCAGGCAAGTTACACCCGCGCCTTTCTGCAGCCCCCAGGCTGCTCTTCTCAGATGCCATATGCTCTCCACATCCCAGACACAGGGCTGGGGTGAGACCCAGGTGTTGTGAGCCAAGGGCTGGCGGGATTTGGAAATGCAGAGTGGATGCCATGAAATCATAGGCATTTCAAGAACATCTTGAGAGGAATTAATGATGATGTTGCTCTCATCTACTTCCTTGAAAAAAAGAGAGCATAGTTCTGTTTTTATTAACTCCAGTGAGATTGATGGAAAACCTCTGCTTTCTGAAATTGAGTAAGAACGGGAGTGTATCCTCACTAGCAGATACCTTGTCTAGATGCACACACCAAGTCTGAGATGTTTCCTTGAAGGTGCAGCACCAGTTCTTTCTGCAACAGGGAACAGCAAGCAAACTCTCGGAAACAGTGTCCTGGATGTCACACACCTGCTTTCCCTGCAGGCCTTCTCCTTCATCTGAGAGGATCCAGGACTGGGTTGCCTGCTGAAGCTTACTCTTAAAATTATACCTCTCCAGAGACCTGAGACTGTGAATGACCTCTGTTTGCAACACTAAGTACAGTAAATGCTATTGTATTATCCAACAGTGGCAAATTAAATAATCCCACTCCCGTCACTTTCTAACAGGATAATGTTAAAGGCATTCCTCTGAGATGGAGAGTAATAATTTGCTAACTCCCCTCAGTATTTCATGCTTCTCAGTAGTGCAGCTAATTTTCTCTGAGTACCTTATTAACATTAACAATGACTTCACAGTCCCACCCTAATAGCTCTCCGCAGAGGCAGTGACTGTGAAGGTGAGAGCTGCCAGTGACATATTTTCCTCCTTTTTCTCTGCAGACTGTATTATCCTGGTTTCCATCCGCTGAAGGCTGTCCAGCTGATGCGAGTGGGCAAACTGCAGTACAGTCAAGACATGTTTCCTGAAGCACTGGAGACCTTGAAACAGGTCAGTATTTGGAACTGTTTCTTCTCTGTCCACCTCCCTCACTTCCCCTGAACCTGCTGTGTGTCCCCCTTTTCTGCTCTGACTGTACCTCACGCCTTTGGATGCTCCTCACCACTTTTTCCATCAGCGGTGATTCCCCAGGCTGCATCCGAGTGCGGTGATGGGTCACTGTTGCTGAACGTTTCAGGCACTGACTTCCCCCAGCATCAGTCACTGCTAATTACAGTTCGATAGCTCAGAGGAGCCTGGATGAAAAATTGCTATTAGATCCAGAGAGATAAAAATACCCCAATGCCTTATACTCTCCTTCTTACTGTAGCAAAGTGAATCTGGCAGGACTGAAAGTACAAGAACAGGAGCAGAGCTGCAGTTTCTACCCTCCTTATTCCCTGTCAGAGATCTGTGATTTCAGATTGGAGAACTTTGCTGTTAATACTTGTATTTTATTGTGAGCCACACTCAAATCAACAAACATGCTTCTTGATCCCTCCTATTTCTATATCATTCATCATCTCTCTCTTCTTTGATGTGGTTTTGCAGCTGGTGCTTTGCTAGTTACATTTCAGCTTTAAGCCATCCCTCTTGTACCTGAGCTGACTTTTATATTAATTTCCTCCTACCTCAGGCTCTTATTTCTCCTGCCATTATATTGCTGTTAGTATCATCTTAAATACATTGAAGAGTCCCCTTCCATGTGCATCCTTTCACTTGCTCAAGCCCTCAGTCACTGATAGGGTGTTTTTCTCCCCCTGGAAGATGTGCTGCCTCCAGTTCCCCTCAAAGAGGTCTTAATGCTTATTCCCTTGTATTATTGATTGTCCTCTGGCCAGCTTGGCCTGAAGACAGTACATGCTCCACGCGGTTCCCCTTCTCATCTCTCAGTCCACCTCCAGTGCCTGACACAACCTCCTTTGCTGGGTGCTGCAGAAAGCCGCCCGGCCCAGCTACTTGCCTCTTGCTGCTGGGCAGGAGCAGTCCCCAGTGCTGGCACCGGTGTTGGAAAGAAGTGCAGAAATTGCCTGTATGTGCCCTCTGTTTAAGGTCCATACTATGTGAAGAGCTAGTCTTGTGGCAAAGAGTTAGGGCAGCTGCTTGGGATAGAAGGGGATGGGGTCTGCGCTGGGGGTGGAGGGAGAAGTGAGTTTTACACCTATAAAGTTAATATCAGTTATGACTCTCTAGATAGCTTGGTATTTTGTGCTTACTTTTTTCAACCTCCATATCTATTTTGTTTTAACATCTGATTAATTATGCAAGCTGATTAACTGATAATTTCCACATGTTGAAATCATAAATTAGTATTTAATACAATGCCAGTCTTACTAAGGCTTGGTAACTTGGATCGTCACTCGATGTATTTAACTTAAATTATGGCCAATTCTGATCCTTAAAAAGCAGAAGGAAGAGTAATCAATTCTATTTTTCATGCATTATTCAGAAGTCATATATCTGTCGTGCCAGGTAATCTGTTCTGCTATTTCCCCCATAATATTTATAATTTCCAAACATTCAGATTTTCCTTTTTAGCAGGTGGAGTGAGACCACAGTCAGACGAGCTTCTATTTTCATTGATAATGCCACAATATATCAACAGGCATTCTTCTAACTGCATTTCTAGTATGATACTGCATTAAATTAAACTGGAGTGAATTCCTCTAGAGACATTTGAATGCTGCTCATCAGTGAAGGTGGAAGTTGTGATAGAGTTTTGTGTTTTTAGTGAAGAATTTGCCCACTGTAAGCCAGATTGCTACTGTATTATCCTTTGAATACTGAGCAATGCCTAACACAGAAACATTTTTTTTAAGCTATGAGCTCCTCTTTCCCAGAAAAGGGAGAATAAGGTGCTGCTTACCATTCAGTGCATCTGTAACGGTGGTGTCCAAGCCATTCATGGTCCACCAGGAGACTGTAAGTGCTGTACAGCTAAGATGCAGAACCATTTACAAACTAATCCTGGTGTGGGTGTGGTTTTGCCTATTCCCTGTTCAGCCTCTCCCCTTTTCACCCACATGTGTGAGACAGGGAGAGATTGAATTTCCATCCTCTGGGAGCACAGCTGAGAGGAGGAAAAGCTTCTTGTCCTCCTGCTTGTCTATGCAACTCACAAGCATAGGACACAACACGTCTTGGGATGAGATCTGAAACTGATTCCCTTCATTGCTGCCTACACTGGAAGAAATGAGAGCAAGATATAACTCCCAGTTTGCTGCAAGGATGTGATTCCTAATATAACTCAGATAATGTCCTGGAGTTATATGAGAACACAGTTTGGCCCTTTGAGATTAGATGTGTCAACAGAGCATGCCACATGCTCAGAGCAGAAACTCGATTACCTTCTCTGCATCATTACTCTTCTTAATACACTCTGACAGTGAATAGCACCCTGTTGGAGCCCTCGTCAGGCTAATTTCAGTGTGGCATTAAGGAGAAGGATGTGGAAGGTGCAGAGGAATTGAGATCTGAGTGAAATTCACCTCGCTCATATAAATCCTGTTTAATCAGGCACAGCCTCAGAGCTGCTGGGGATTGACAGCCTCTGTGCATCAGATGCGCAGCCTGTTAAGACCAGTAGATCTCCATACACAGCTCTGCAGCCCAGCCCTTACTGCTGCTCTCTGTGCCACCCGAAAATGAATCACTATCATAATCACCTCATTCTTTGGGTTTATCTCTCTGCCCTGCACCCCCAAAGAAGGCTTAAACAATGTGGAAGGCTTTATGCTACCTATTAAAATGAAATCACCCCCTAAAAGTATATTAGACCCTGCAGAATCTAATTTACGAGGTTTTGGAAATAGAAGTGTTACAGAGAGGCAATACTCTGCTTCTGAAATAGAACCTGAAGGTAGCCCTTTATTGTACAACCAACATATTATTTTTAAATTTATTTTTAT